GGACTGGTTGTATGGAGAGGGGCTCTGCAAGGTCGGCTCTGCCTGCGACGGCAATCGGGACCATTCCCCGGAGCCAGCCTGGGTGGCCCTGCCTCCTGCTCCGGCTCCAGAGGCAGAGCATCCCCCCCAAGGCGGCGTGACCGTGAGTGCATCGCACGTGGGCTGCGGCAGCATGGCAGCGAGCCAGGACATTCCCCTTGGCCCTGCTCCCTCCTGGGGTTTTGGGTGGGGATGAGGGGAAGCCAGGGATGTCTTTTTCTCAGGTCTTACAGGGCCTCATGCTGCTGGGGTGCCCGGCAGTCGGGACCATCCCCCGGAGCCAGCCTGGGTGGCCCTGCCTCCTGCTCCGGCTCCAGAGGCAGAGCATCCCCCCCAAGGCGGCGTGACCGTGAGTGCATCGCACGTGGGCTGCGGCAGCATGGCAGCGAGCCAGGACGTTCCCCTTGGCCCTGCTCCCTCCTGGGGTTTTGGGTGGGGATGAGGGGAAGCCAGGGATGTCTTTTTCTCAGGTCTTACAGGGCCTCATGCTGCTGGGGTGCCCAGACAAGACCCTCAGTACTGGCTTTGGCTCCTGCTGCCCTGAATGCAGGGGGATACTTGCATGACAGTGACCTGTGCATGTCCCCGGGAAGAGGCTGGTGGGTCCAAACAGCCCCCAGCCCCAGGACGCTGTGCCCCTTCCCCGCAGCCCCAGGACGCTGTGCCCCTTCCCTGCAGTCCCAGGACCCTGTGCCCCTTCCCTGCAGCCCCAGGACCCTGTGCCCCTTCCCTGCAGCCCCAGGACCCTGTGCCCCTTCCCCGCAGCCCCAGGACCATGTGCCCTCTCTGTCCTGCTGCTCCAGGGGCAGCCCGGCCATGGGGCAGGCAGGCTGAATCCCTGGGATCCCAACCAGAGCCTCACCTCTCTCTCATTGCTTTGCAGAACAAGGAACCCGCATCCTCCTGTCCAGCCTTCAAAGAGGGTGAGTTGCTTCTGTCCTTGAGCAGCAAAATCACCCAGGAGCCCTGACCCGCCACCTCCTGCTCTGACGCTGAATGCGGGGTGGCCAGGGGTCCCAGCCAGGGAGGGAGTGCCTGGCTCTGCGCCCATGCAGGGTGGAAACATGGCTGCAGATTCCAGGTGGCTCGTTCGATCCCAGCTCGCCCTTCACTGAGTAAACGGGGGTGCTTCAAGGATCGGGGAGGGGGGATGCTCAGACTTGGGAGGGGAGACAGAGGGATGGCAGGGTGTGCCCAAGGGAAGGGGGAAGCGGCCCTGGGGTCAGAGTTCGTCCCCCGGTGATGCCAGGAGCCCATCTCCCAAGTGCTGAGCTGCTTTACTGTGTGTAGGAATGCAGCTAATGGGCAGTAGGAGTTGGTACCCCCAGTTTTCAGAGCTGGGGGGACAAGCCCTTGCTTAGTCCCTCCCGATGCCTCAGTTCCAGGCCCTTGTGACCCAGAGGATCTGCTGGACGGTGTGATTTTTGGGGCAAAGTACCTGGGCTCCACACAGCTGGTCTCGGAGAGGAACCCCCCGACCAGCGTCCGCATGGCACAGGCCCAGGAGGCGGTGGACAGGATCAAGGTGCAGGAGGGTAGGGGGGCATGACTGCCACCAGCCTGGCCCCTCGTGGGCGAGGGGCAGCACAGAGGACCTGCCCAGGGCAACCTCCTGGCTGTGGGGCAGGGACCCAGAGGAGTCCTGGCGGCAGCAGTGACGTCCCAGGTGCTTCCTTCTGCAGGCACCGGAGGGGGAGTCCCAGCCCATGACAGAGGTGGATTTGTTTGTCTCCACGCAGCGGATCAAGGTGCTCACGGCTGACACGCAGGTGAGCGGGGAACGGGAGCACCCATGTGGCTTTGGGGCTGCTGAAACCTTCCCGTTTGGCCTTGGGATCTCTGCTTTGCACCCACGCCAGTGGGATCGTGCCCAAGGATGGCCTACGGGCAAGGACACGCGTCTGGGAGTAGACACGTCACTCCACAGCCATCCCACGCAGATGCGTCCCGT